ATTTATTTTTTTTTTATTTTTTTAATTTCACAGTCATACGAAATCTGCTCCAATCAGCTACTTTAATTTAGCTTGTTGATCTTCAATAACAGGATTAAGCTTCAGTTCTTCGGGTCGTTGTGGAGGGCTAGTGTTGCGCTAAAATAAAGAAAACATAGATTGCAATGTAAGTTTGACGGTTTCTTATTCAATGCGTCGGGCGCATATACTTTGTATTAATAGCCTCTGAAAAAAATCCCTAAAACTTTCACAGATATATTATTTGCACTCTACATTTACAGAGTTCGTGCAACATCTTCACTACAAAACTACAGGACTTTTCAAGTAAAATGCGATTTTCAAGGAGTATTTACTGTATGAAGATATTTTTAGATGTTTGCGGACGTTTCAAGTGGCGATTTTTTAAAATAGCCACATTTCAATCCAAAAGCTAACAATCAACATGTCAATTTTATCAGATTCAAGGTGTTTTCCAGGAGTTTCAGTGATTTTCACAATTTTCAAGGGCTTCCAAGCGCCCTTGAAAACGATTTTTCAATTCCAAGACTTTTCAAGGACTTTTAGGAGTAGCGCGAATCCTGATTTAGTACCTTTCTATGAATTTCGATTAAGGCAGCCACAATAACGATGGCCAATAGCGCCCCAATCACAATTCCCATTATCTCTAGAGTACTGAGTGACTTGTCACTGGCCTTGTAGTTGCTGTGATGAACTAGGCTAGTATGCACCATATGCGGACCTTGTTCATTGGAGGATCTGGTAGATGACCTTTGAAGCTTTCATTATTCTCACAGTTTGTGGGCTGCACTGAATACACTGCCAGTACAGTCCTCTGGAGCACTCTTATAGATCACCGACAGTCTTAACTACTTCAAGCATCTGGTAATATATCAAGCCGGGGACAACACTAGGATGCGCTTTAAGAGCACTGTAAGGTGTACTTTAGAGCACTTTAAGAGCATTTTTTGTACTTACATATAAAATAGTAGAAAATTAACTAAATTAACGAGCAACATAGCACTAATATCTTTATTACGCATGCTATTTTACAATAACTACTATATAAGGAATAAATAGACAAAATTATTTACCTATAGGACAGATTCTCTTGGCGCAAAGACTTTACCAAACACAAAAGAGAGCACGAGAAATTGTCATTATTACAATTAACCTGCGTAGCGGTTCTATGGGGATTGGCGAGGGCCGGCCGAGCGGGGAGTGTGGGAGGAGAAATATTTTTCCTATTTTTTTCTGTTTTTCCTCCCCACTCCCTTCTCAGCCGGCCCTCCCCAATCCCCTTAGGCCCGATACGAATGCTATTAAAAAAGCTTTGAAAATTTGCATTTTCACCTAGTTCGAGACAAACCCTGTATTCCCATAAGACCTAAGGTATGAACTGTCTGAGAATGCACGGTTAGCCTCAACTCAGGAAAAAAGTAAATTGTTAGCGCTATTGTACTTAGGGACTGTGCAATATTTATCCAGAGATGGGGTTGAGAAATAGCCAATCGTTGCACGCTTTTTTAAAGAATTTTTTGAAATCTGACACCGTTGATTTTCCAGTGTCCAATTAAAGTTCTAGTTAATATTAGACTTTAAGCACATAAAATTAGATGTTGCC